GAGGACCAGACATGTAACAAGTCCATCAAATAAACGTATGTGGGGCTACTGTCAGGACCTTGGGTTTTTTGAGTGTTGGAGTGGCTGTGTAGATGCCAGGGGGTTTTCTCTCGTCAATCGCGTTGTGGTTTGGAACCAGAAACAGTCTGTGAGCTCAGCCTTGGGGAAGGTTTCATTCACCCTTTGGAAGTTGTGGGAGGCAGAACATACCTCGTCAGAGGCATGGATATAATATAATCTCCTCGGTGCTGGCAGCAGGTTAACTGCTGAGCACTCCGTGGTGAGCAAAACAGACCTGGTTCCTACCCTCCTGGCAATTATATTCTGGAAGGGAACTCAGATATTAATTAAATAACCACACAAATAAACAAATAACTGGAGACTGTGATAAATGCCATGAGGGAAAGGAGCTGGGGGAGTACAGCAAGGGGATCCAATTGAGTCTAGGTGACCTCTCTAGGGAAGTGATTTGAGGGGATAAAAGTGGTCCAGGCAGAGGGAAAAGCACGTGCAAAAGCCCCGAGGTGGTTAAACAGCATAGAACATGAAAAAACCCAAACAAAGGCCAGTGTGGCTAGCATAGAGCAAGTGAGGAAGAGAGAGGCATGGGACGAGGTCAGGGGACTGGGAAGAATGCAGTCATTCGGGGTACTGGTCGTGTCAAGGAGCATGGGTGTTATTTTACATACAGTGGAAAGTTGTGGCATTGTTTTTAAAAGATCACTTTGGCTGCTGTAGTGGAGCAAGATCAGAAACTAGAATCCAAGCTAGAGGGTTATTCCCATAATCCAGGTAGGAGGTGTGGTAGCTTCAACTAGGATAATGATATTGGAGACTAAGAGAAAGGGACTTTTTTTTTGAGGAAGATTAGCCCTGAGCTAACATCTGCCACCAATCCTCCTCTTTTTTGCTGAGGAAGACTGGCCCTGAGATAACATCCGTGGCCATCTTCCTCTATTTTATACGTGGGATGCCTACCACAGCATGGCTATTGCCAAGCGGTGCCATGTCCGCACCCAGGATCCTAACTGGTAAACTGTGGACCACCGAAGTGGAACATGTGAACTTAACTGCTGAGCCACCAGGCTGGCCCCAAAAGGGACATATTTAAGTTATCTTTTTTGGAGACAGAGTTGGCAGGAGTTGGTGACGCACTAGAGGTATGGATGAGGGAGAGGGCGCATTAATGAGGACTCCAAAGTTTCTGTCTGAGCTGCTAGTGGTTCTATTTACAGAGAAAGGGAACTCTGGTGGAAGAGCAGACCCAACGCTGTGCTCTTCGCTGTAGAACATTCATAAGAAGATTGACACACCTCCCTACTGTCAGGGAACGCACCATGGACTTGGAGAGCCAAGGCTGCACCCAGGAAACCTAAAGCCAAACTTGGGATATTCAGTATAACTTGTGGTCAGATGGACGAAAGGTAAGAGGTAGAGGAGTCAGAGAGCTTCTGGAAAGAGAAGGCAGGCCAGCTTTTGGGCAGGTGGCGAGGAGGGGAGAGAGCACGAGGAGTGTGATGAACGACACAGACCATTGCACAGGGAGAGGCACAACATCTGCACCGGGGCAGAGCAGTGAAGGGGCCAGCCTGTCGTCCCCGCCAGCCCCACTCTGGGCCTTTGCTTCTGCTGCCTCCTGGAATGCTCTTTCTTATTCAGTTTTCACTTTCCCTGTAGCAAAGAAGAGTTGGTTCCACGATGTGCTCACTGTGCCCTGGACGATGGATGTCCGCGGCAGCACCCGGAACGGTTGGCTGCACTCACTTTCCTGCCTTTCCGAGCTTGGGAGCTCCTTGAGGGCAGGGACAGTGTGTTATTTGTGTTCTTCTCCCCCATGCCTGGCACACAGGAGCAGGCACTCAACAAGCAATAGTTGAATGAAAGAACGAGAGATTTCTAGCCTGTGATCTTATCATCACTGGGGATGGTGAAGCAGAGGGACAAGAGGGCTTCCTCTTTGTGTTTCGCTTTGAACACTGGGTCCCTCACACACGTAAGGAGACTTGCTAAACATTATGCGACATAATTTGTATGGATGAGACATTTGTTGAGCCCAAGGAGCTTATGATCTAGGAGAGACATAGTGGAGGGTGGTGGCAATAGGCTGTCCCAGACGCAGTTTGTCAAACCAGGCTGGAGCACTGGGTCAGAGATGGAGATGCAGGAGTTAACAACTTAGACACGGAACTTGACTCCTGGGGCACAGAGGTAGTCATGAGATTAGGCAGAAATCCACGGAGAGGCCATGGGCATATACCATTTATTTAGGGATTTGACAGGGAAAGGAAATAGGTCAATAACTTGAAGAAGCAGGGAAGCCTAATGGCTTAATTCAATAACAGCAATGGTTGGGGTATGCTGGAAGATGGAAGGGACGGTACCTGGAGAGGAAGAGAAGTGGAAGATGCTGGAGAGTGGAGAAAATATTTCGATATCTGGATGGCAGGATGCAACAAGGTTCTGAGTGAGCACTAACAAGAAAATCTTTTTCTAAGGATGAGGGCATGAGTAAGAGAAGAGAAGGGGGTAGTAAGGTCAGGAGGGGCAGACACAGGCATGGGTGATGACTTGGCTTTCATATAGTTGGAGCTACGCTTTCCACTCACCAGGAGTCTTGGGTGACTAGGCATGAAATGGGAGTTTTAGAAGAGATGGTCCTTTGTGAAGTAGGGAGATGCACAAAGCTGGGTGAACAGATTTCTGAAGAGTAGCATCAAAGCTTAGATGGAGCGTGAATGGCACTGACGTGTAGTGAGTGGCATATGCTAAAACGGTAGCACAGCTTAGTTTGGGAGGAGGGATAGAGGCGGCAGGCTGTGGGCATGAGTCATCATGAGGATGGAAACAGAGAATGGGAGTCAAGGGGTGGTGATAGATAGGACCATACTTGGTTTCTGATGGGGAAGTATCGGCAAAAAAACAACAACAACAACAAAAAAAAACCAAGCAAAGTCTGCTTTATTGCTTTTCTACTTCCGTACCTTTGATGATCTCCTGTCCCACTAGTCATCACACACTCATTCTTTTACTCAACAAATATTGACTGAGCACCTCCTTGGTGACAGGTACCAAGCCACGTACTGCAGATAGAGAGATGACAGAAACGGACGTGTCCCAGGACTTACGGAGCTGCTGAGAAAAGTGAGGTTGAATTAGCTGAATGCAGGTTGTTTTGCTGTATCTTTGTAAACAGGTAAATAAGCGCTGTAGGAGGGCTCCACTGAAGAAGAAAGCTGAAAGTTGAGACAACCTCTTAATTCTGCCACAGACTTGATGATCATGGAACAAAATTTTTTTAGAGGAGGCATCTAAATTATTTTTTTAAATCCGTCAGTTCTTTCTGTGGAGACCAGAGTTGGCCAATGTAACCTGACATTTTAGTAAGAAGGTTTTAAAACTTCACTGACTCAATTTTTCACTCAAAACACCAACTTCTGCTGTAATTTCACCTGCTTATTTTTAAATCAGACATTTAATGAATTTGATATTGCTAAGTGCAATGAGATTAGGCATTTTGACATGTGCAAGGCACAAAGATTGTGTGTCAGTTGTAAGGAGTTTGAAAGCAACTAAAGCTGTTTTGGGACCATGGCAGGCCTTCTGGCAGGCAACCTTTTGGACCCATGGTGGCATTCACTGTGTCTGCAGCCTGCAGGTATCAGCAAGGCCCACCCGGAGCTCTGAGAATTAATACAAAATGTAACACACTATGTATGAGAAAAAGTAATAAAAAAAGGTAGCTCAGGATGAAATGTTTTTAGGCTGGAAATAGAAAGAGTTGCTGATAGGAAACATAGGAAGACAAAAGGTCAAGGTTGGCAGCACCCTGGCCTGTGGTCTTGGAGCCTAGACGTGGCTGGTCCAATCCTGTGGTTAGGCTACTGAGTACTTCTGATCATCAGGTGTTGTGTGTAGTTTTCCTACTTGGGGAAAGTATTCTGGGCTTGTCTCCATTTTCACAAGTGCCATGTTGCATAATGTAAACCCTTGTGATGGCATTCCAACTTTTCTACTCTAGGTTCCTAGGAGTTCGGTTAGCCTGAGTTAGCCTCTAACAAGCCCTGAAAACAGACAGAATCAAGTTTCTGAATTGGCGAAGCTGAGGCCCCCAACCTGGAGTCACTTGGCTGAGGTCTGTCAGGGGCTGGCCAGACTGCCTTATCCTGGCAGGTGTCCCCCAGCATCACCTTTTGGTGGAGTGGCACGCAGGGGTTTCCAGACAAATCAGGAATGATTAACTGAAGGCTTCATTTTCTTTAGCTTTAATAGTACCCCGTGAGTTCTCCTGCTGCCCCACATTTGGACTGCTGCCTTGTGGAAAGAGAGTCTTGAAGTTTGACAGATCTGAGTTTAGTACCTAGGTGACCTTGCTTAAATCAGTTGACTTCTCCAAGCTTCAGTTTCTTCATGTAAAATGTAAACTCCTACTACAGGGTTGTAAGGAGGTTGCCTGGATGAATAGTGAAGTACATAAGACATGTGGCCCAGGGCCCAGACAAAATAGTAAGGGACACTGTTTACAGAAATGCTTGCTAAAGAGAGAGAGGGAAAGCCCCCAGTCTTTGCCTTAGTGAGAGGAAAGGGGAAGATCACTAGATAATCTCATCAAGGGAGAAGCTCTGCTGAACTGAAGACAGGCGTAACTGGGGGGCTGTCAGCATCCCAGGACAGGCGGTAAAGCCCCAGACAGCCCTGCTGCATCTAGACGGGTTTCCAAGCTCTTGGCAGCTGGAGGGGCTCCGAATCAGGTGCCTCAGGAGAGGCGGGGGGAATCACCGCGGCCTCCACTGGCCCTTCAGCTTCTCCTTCACCTCGCGGACCGGCGCGTCTCCGGGGAAGCTTGGTTACTAAGCGCGAGAGCGTCCATGGCAACCGCCTCCCCAGCGGTTCCCTCGGCTCCTCCGGCTCCCGCCGGCCTCTCCTCTCATCAGCCAATCGGCTCCCTGCGAGGCCGCAGGGGCGGCCGTTGAGTGGTCCGCGGGCGCTGACGTCACAGGTGGGCAAGGCGGGGCCAGGGCCCGACCTGCGGGTCTGAGGCTCAGCGGGCGGTCGGCGGAGGGGCTGGGACCCTTCCGGCTCGCCGCCCCTTCCCCGCCCCTTGCCTGGCATCCGCTGGCAGGTGAGTGGTCTCGTGGGCTCCTGCCTGCCTCTGGGACGACCCCGCCAAGGTCCCCTTTCCCAATCAGGGCTCCAACGTCTGACCTCAGAAGTCTGGGTGAGGTGAAAACCCTGAGATTCCTCCCCCAGATCTCTTCTCTACTTCTGCCCCCCAAATAAAAAGCATGCAAACCCACAGGCACCCCCTACCCGGTCCCCAACTCCATGTCTTCATAACTTATCTTTCTGATGCCTTTAAAGGATTGGGAAGTTATTTCTAAATGCGGAACCAGGGAAGGGGCGTCCGAATCCCCGATCTGCTGCTAACACGTATTTCTTATACCTGTTAGCAGTGCTGTGCTTGGTCCTCAAACACTGTACCTTGTTCTCCTTGCTTCATTGGCCGGGTTTTCCAAGTGCAGCCAAGGGGAGGGCTGTACAGTCACCTGGCTGTTCAGAGAGAGGTCCTGAATTCAGATCAAGACAGGTGTCCTCTCGCTGCCCGCGGCCCTTTCTGTTTAGCTCTCCGTGTGAAGCTCTCACTTGTATTTTGACAATAGACCAAGCCTTGTATGTTTTCTCCCTGGATGCTTGTGGTGGTGTAGAGAAATAGACATTTTAGAAATGGATAAAATTATTCCTTTAGTCATTGTGAAAAAAGCAAGTAAATAGTTTTAATAATAGGCAGAGTGTTTTGAGATATCTGATAAAATATTCCACTTTTTTCTTTCTTAAAAGGAAATATTGCACACAATAAGTAGAGTGTTCAAGCATCCATGTACCCACACCTCACTTAAAAAAACAAAACAGGTGTTTTGGGCAGGAATGAGGCCTCCTATGTACCCTTGGGAATCCCGTTCCCCTCTCTCCTGCCTCACCTACCAGAATTTAGTGTTTACCTATACTCTGCATTTTTATATTTCACTAGTTATGAATTTATATAGTGTTTTTTTTATATTGAGGTTATGATAGTTTACAATATTGTGAAATTTCAATTGTAGATGATTATTTGTCAGTAACCTTATGGGTGCCCCCTTTCACCCTTTGTGCCCACCCCTCACCGCCCTTCCCCAGGTAACCATTAAATAGTTCCCTTTGTCCACGTGTTTGTTTATCTTCCACATATGAGTGAAATAATACAGTGTTTGCCTTTCTCTTTCTGGCTTATTTTGCTTAACATAATACCCTCAAGGTCCATCCATGTTGTTGAGAATGGGATGATTTTGTCACTTTCTATGGCTGAGTAGCATTCCATTGTACATATATACCATATCTTCTTTATCCAATCGTTAATTGATGGAACTTGGGTTACTTCCACATCTTGGCTATTGTGAATAATGCTGCAATGAACATAGGGGTGCCTAAGTCTCTTTGAATTGTTGATTTCAAGTTCTTTGGATAGATACCCAGTGGTGGGATAGCTGGGTCATATGTATTTTTATTTTTAGTTTTTTGAGAAATCTCCATACTGTCCATAGTGGCTGCACCAGTTTGCATTCCTACCAGCAGTGTATGAGCATTCCTTTTTCTCCACATTCTCTCCAACATTTGCTACTTTTTGTCTTGGTTATTATAGCCATTCTAATGGTGTAAGGTGATATATTAGTGTAGCTTTGACTTGCATTTTCTTGATGATCACTGATGTTGAGCATCTTTTCATGTGCCTATTAGCCATCTGCATATCTTCTTTGGAGAAATGTCTGTTCATATCCTCTGCCCATTGTTTTGATTGGGTTGTTTGAGTTTTTGTTGTTGAGTTGTGTGAGTTCTCTATATATTATTGACATTACCCCTTTGTCAGATATATGATTTGCAAATATTTTCTCCCAGTTGATGGGTTGTCTTTTTGGTTTCATCATGGTTTCCTTTGCCTTGTAGAAGTTCTTTAGTCTGATGAAGTCCCACTTGTTAATTTTTTCTTTTGTTTCCCTTGTCCAACAAGACATGGTGTCCACACAGATCCTTTTAAGACTGATGTCACACAGTGTACTGCCTATATTTCTTCTAGAAGTTTTATGGTTTCAAGTCTTATCTTCAAGTCTTTGATCCATTTTGAGTTTATTTTTGTGAATGTCGTAAGAGAATGGTCTACTTTTATTCTTTCGCATGTGGCTGTCCAGTTTTCCCAACACCATTTATTGAAGAGACTTTCCTTTTCTCCATTGTATGTTCTCAGCTCCTTTGCTGAAGATTAGCCGTCTGTAGATGTGCTGTTTAATTTCTGGGCTTTCGGTTCTGTTCCATTGATCTGTGTGCCTGTTTTTGTGCCAGTACCATGCTGCTTTGATTACTATAGCTTTGTAGTATATTTTGAAGTCAGGGATTGTGATGCCTCCAGCTTTGTTCTTTTTTCTCAGGACTGCTTTAGCTATTAGGGGTCTTTTGTTGCCCTATGTGAATTGTAGGATTCTTTGTTCTATTTCCGTGAAGAATGTCATTGGAACTCTGATTGGGATTGCATTGAATCTGTAGATTGCTTTGGATAGTATGGACATTTTAACTATGTTTATTCTTCCAATCCATGTGCATGGAATGTCTTTCCATTTCTTTATGTCATCATCACTTTCTTTCAGTAAAATCTCGTAGTTTTCGTTGTATAAGTCTTTCACTTCCTTGGTTAAATTTATTCCAAAGTATTTTATTCTTTTTGGTCGAATTGTGAATGGGATTGTGTTCTTGAGTTCTCTTTCTGTTAGTTTGTTATTAGAGTATAGAAATGTGGCTGAGTTTTGTAAGTTGATTTTGTACCCTGCAACTTTGCTGTAGTTGTTCATTATTTCTAATAGCTTTCTGATGGATTTTTTAGAGTTTTCTATATGTAGAATCATGTCCTCTGCAAACAGTGAGAGTTTCACTTCTTCATTGCCTATGTGGATTCCTTTTATTTCTTTTTCCTGCCGAATTGCTCTGGCCAACACCTCCAGTACTATGTTGAATAAGAGTGGTGAAAGTGGACACCCTTGTCTTGTTCCTGTTCTCAGACGTATGGCTTTCAGTGAGTATGATGTTTGCTGTGGGTTTGTCATATATGGCCTTTATTATGTTGAGGTACTTTCCTTCTATACCCATTTTATTGAACATTTTTATCATAAATGGATGTTGGATCTTGTCAAATGCTTTCTCTGTGTCTATTGAGATGATCATGTGGTTTTTGTTCCTCATTTTGTTAATGTGGTGTATCACATTGATTGATTTGTGGATGTTGAACCATCCCTGTGTCCCTGGTATGAATCTCACTTGATCATGATGTATGATCTTTTTAATGTATTGCTGTATTCAGTTTGCCAATATTTTGTTGAGGATTTTTCATCTATGTTCATCAGCGATATTGGCCTGTAATTTTTCTTCATTGTGTTCTCCTTGTCTGGCTTTCGTATCAGAGTGATGTTGGCCTCATAGAATGTGTTAGGAAGTGCTCCATCTTCCTCAGTTTTCTGGAATAGTTTGAGAAGGATAGGTATTAAATCTTCTTTGAATGTTTGGTAGAATTCTCCAGAGAAGCTGTCTGGTCCTGGACTTTTATTTTTGAGGAGGTTTTTGATTACTGTTTCAATCTCTTTACTTGTGATTGGTCTATTCAGATTCTCTATTTCTTCTTGATTCAATTTGGGGAGGTTGTAAGAGTCTATGAATTTATCCATTTCCTCCAGGTTGTCCAATTTGTTATAGTTTTTCATAGTATTCTCTTATAATCTTTTGTATTTCTGTGGTATCTGTTGTAATTTCTCCTCTTTCATTTCTATTGTTGTTTACTTGAGTCTTCTCTCTTTTTTTCTTAGTGAGCCTGGCTAAGAGTTTGTCAATTTTGTTTATTTTCTCGAAGAAACAGCTTTTTGTTTCATTGATCCTTTTTACTGTCTTTTTTGTTTCAATTTCATTTATTTCTGCTGTGATTTTTATTATTTCCCTCCTTCTACCAAGTTTGGGCTTTGTTTGTTCCTCTTTTTATAATTCTGTTAGGTGTAGTTTGAGATTGCTTATTTGAGATTTTTCTTGTTTGTTGAGGTGAGCCTGTATTGCAATGAATTTCCCTTGTAGGACTGCTTTTGCTGCATCCCAAATGAATTGGTATTGTGTGTTTTCATTTTCATTTGTCTCCAGATAATATTCAATTTCTCCTTTGATTTCTTCAATGATCCATTGTTCATTCAGTAGCATGTTGTTTAATGTCCACATCTTTGCCCCTTTCCCAGCTTGTTTCTTATCACTGATTTCTAGTTTCATAGCATTATTGTCAGACAAGATGCTTGATATTATTTCAATCATCTTAAATTTGTTGAGGCTTGCTTTGTTTCCCAAGATATGGTCTATCCTGGAGAATGTTCCATGTGCACTTGAGAAGAACATGTAACCTGCTGTTTTTCAATGGATTGTTCTATATATGTCTATTAAATCCATCTGGTCTAGTTTTCTATTTAATTCTACAATTTCCTTGTTGACTTTCTGTCTGGATGATCTACCCATTGGTGTAAGTGGGGTGTGAGGTCCCCTACTATTATTGTATTGTTGTTAATGCCTCCTTTTAGGTTTGTTAATAGTTGCTTTATGTACTTTGGTGCTCCTGTGTGGGGTGCATGTATGTTTATAAGTGTTATGTCTTCTTGGTGGAGTGTCCCTTTTATCATTATATACTGCCTATCTTTGTCTCTCTCTACCTGTTTTGTCTTGAAGTCTACTTTGTCTGATATAAGTATGGTGACTCCTGCTTTATTTTGTTCACCATTAGCTTTGAGTATCGTCTTCCATCCCTTCACTCTGAGTCTGTGTTTGTCTTTGGGGCTGAGATGTGTTTGCTGGAGGAAGCATCTTGTTGGGTCTTGTTTTTTAATCCATCCTGCCACTCTGTGTCTTTTGATTGGAGAATTCAATCCATTTATATTTAGAGGGATTATTCATATATGAGGGCCTTATGCTGACATTTTATTGCTTGTTTTCCTGTTCTCCTGCATTTCCTTTGTTTCTCGTCCCATGTATTTCAGACTACCAGTTCAGTTAGGTGGTTTTATATGCTAGTTTTCTTAG